GAAACAAAATCAGATGCATCACTAGTGAGAGATTATCTCATTGTATGGCGATTTAGAATATTATGTTCAGGTCTGGGTACAACACTTTAAAGTCAAATTAGATTATTTTCAGAGAACAACCAAATTGCTGAAGGACCTTGGGGAAAATCTGAAGTAATTCTAGATTCAGTCTGATTCAGAGGGGACATGATGACTGTTTTCAGATATTTGAAGGCTTATCATATTGTTAGACTTTGTCTCTAGAATTAGGACCAATGAGAAGAAATGCTAAGGGAATATAAAGGAGGACATATTAGTAAGAACTGCCAAAGATGATATGGGAGGCCCCAGACGTTGTGAGGGCCTCCACAGTAAGTGTGTTTCAGCAGAAGTTACATGATGATTTGCAGTATTACAGAGGAGAGTCAAACATGGCATGAGTAGTTGAACTCAGTGACCTTTAAAGTTCTGTCTAGCCTTGTGGCTATGTAATTCTAGGAAAAAATGGTTAGAATAAAAAAATTGGCTTCTAGTTCTAGACACCTCAGTTATCTGAATTACTAATCAGCTGATTTGAGTACTTATATTGTGCTCAGTACTGTTTGGAGTGTGGTTGAAAATGCTAAAATATCCCTAGTGGGGAGCTATGGAATACAGAAGCAACTGAGGGGAAGCAGGACCCAACACCTAGGTAGGAAGGGGCTGGATTATAGGAGGCTTTATAAGCCTGGAAGGGGCAAAGAACCATTGTGTTGCGTGGAATGACTGTTAAAGAATTAATTTGCTAAGTGTTGCTCACTGTGGCAGAATTTATTTCCTGTTCGTTATTAAGCTGGGTCATTTGGTTTTCTTTGTAAAAAAGAAATTTTAAAAGAAAATTACAATCCCGAAAAACAAAGTTTGCACAAAACTTTATTTGTTCCTGAAATAATTTCCACTCCCCTGACAAAGAGAAACCTTGATCCCTGTCAGTTATGGGGCAAAATGGCCATGCTGCGTACATTGTGCCTGTTAAATAAATACTTCTTGAGTTGGTTCTTCTGTTAATAATCCCCAGAATTGGGAGGCCACCTAGAAAACTTTACCCCCCATTCATCATGGTGCTGACATGACAGATGGTCTTATTAGGTGACCAACAGTGGAGGCACAAAAATCAGATATCAAGGAATCTTTAGTACCAGCTAGGCTTTTCTGGGAGGGGGTACGTGGGGGACCTACATCAACTGAATCTTGAATACCATGTGATACACACATTCCACTATATGTTGTAATTTTAATAGCTTATAATGATTTATATTAATAAATTGAATGTTTCCTCTAGGATTTTATTATTCACCTTTTTTGAGAAATTACCCTGAGGTTTGGTTACAGAGAGGTGGTAAAAAAAGGAAATATTCGGTAACAAAAACTAGAGTAAAAGTATAAAGCCAATTTCTAATTCATTATTGTTGTTTTCCAAGGTCATTTTTTGAGAACTTAAGGTGCAATGCCAATAGAAGCATGTTATAATATAGAAAGTTCCCAGGCTAGCCCATGAAAATCTATTTATCCTATGATACATATTAAGTATGTCACTTAGAACATTAATTCAGCTATCCCTAACCACCACATTTAAAGTGTAAGTAGATACATTTGGATTTCCAAATTGGGAATATTTTACCTTGGCAGAGGGAGTGGCGATGGCTCTGGATTTCTTCATGTGGTAGGATGTAGATTGGAGGTGGTTGCCGACCCGTAGCAGCAACACCACAGTTATCCGAGTGTTCAGAACTGGGAAGATTGGGGTGGTGGGGTACAGTTGCCTCCTGTTACACTATATATGGGCTTCACATTTGTTGGAGAGTGCCTGTGCTCATTTAAGAGCTGTGATGTTTTCACTCAGGCCTCTCTTTGGTTTCATTTTTGGATACTATTTTCCATGAAGCTACAACTGAAGATAGAAGAGCTTTGTAGATTCTGAAAGAAGTATGTGTCCATGAGGCACAATAGTATTGTGAAATGAATTTTGACTTTTTGGGTGGAGGGGATGCATATTTTTAGTGATTGGCTAGTTTAAGAGTACCTATCTAGTAGCTTCTTTTTTAAAAAAATTATTGAGGTCATATTGGCTTTTAACATTGTGTAAATTTCAGGGGTACATTATTATATATCAGTTTCTGTATAGACTGCATCATGCTCACCACCAATAGTCTAGTTTTTATCCGTCACCATACATATGTGCCCCTTTACCCCTTTAACCCACCCCTCCACTCGCTTCCCCTCTGGTAACCACTAATCTGTTCTCTTTATCCATGTGTTTGTTTATCTTCCACATATGAGTGAAATCATACAGCATTGTCTTTCTCTGTCCGGCTTGTTTCTTTTAACATAATACCCTCAGGGTCCATCCATGTTGTTGCAAATGGGACGATTTTGTCTTTTTTTATGGCTGAGTAGTTTTCTGTTGTATGTGTATACCACATCTTTATCCATTCATCAGTTGATGGGCACTTGGGTTGCTTCCATGTCTTAGCTATAGTGAATAATGCTACAGTGAACATAGGGGTGCATAAATCTCTTTGTATTGTTGATTTCATGTTCTTTGGATAAATACCCAGTAGTGGGATAGCTGGCTCGTATGGTATTTCTATTTTTAATTTTTTGAGAAATCTCCATACTGTGTTCCACAGTGGCTGCACCATTTTGCATTCCCACCAGCAGTGTATAAGGGTTCCCTTTTCTCCACATCCTCTCCAACATTTGTTATTTTGTGTCTTGGTAATTATAGCCATTATGACAGGTGTAAGGTGATATCTCATTGTACTTGTGATTTCCATTTCTCTAATAATTAGTGACGTTGAACATCTTTTCATGTGCCTGTTGGCCATCTGTATATTTTCTTTGGAAAAATGTCATTCATATCCTCTGCCCATTTTTTGATTGGGTTGTTTGTTTTTTGTTGTTGAGTAGTATACGTTCTTTATATACTTTGGAAATTAACCCCTTGTCGGATGTATGATTTGCAAATATTTTCTCAGAGTTGGTGGGTTGTCTTTTTGTTTTGTTCATGGTTTCCTTTGCCTTGCAGAATGTTTTTAGTCTGATGTAGTCCCATTTGTTTATTTTTTCTTTTGTTTCCCTTGCCTGAGTAGACCTGGTATTCAAAAAGATGCTGCTAAGACTGATGTCAAAAAGTGTACTGCGTCTGTTTTCTTTTAGGAGTTTTATGGTTTCAGGTCTTACATTCAAGTCTTTAATCCATTTTGAGTTAATTTTTGTGTATGGTATAAGATAATGGTCTACTTTCATTCTTTTGCATGTGGCTGTCCAGTATTCCCAACAGCATTTATTGAAGAGACTTTCATTTCTCTGTTATATGTTCTTGGCTCCTTTGTCAAAGATTAGCTGTCCATAGATGTGTGGTTTTATTTCTGGGCTTTCAGTTCTTCCGTTGATCTGTGTGTCTGTTTTTGTGTCAGTACCAAGCTGTTTTGATTACTATAGCTTTATAGTATCTTTTGAAGTCAGGGATTGCGATGACTCCAGCTTTGTTATTTTTTCTCAAGATTGCTTTGGCTATTCAGGGTCTTTTGTTGTTCCATGTAAATTTTAGAATTCTTTGTTCTATTTCCATGAAGAGTGTCATTGGGATTCTGATTGCAATTACATTGAATCTGTAGATTGCTTTAGATAATATGAACATTTTAGCCTTGTTTATTCTTCCAGTCCATGAGCATGGAATATCTTCCCATTTCTTTATGTCTTCTTTGATTTGTTTCAATAATGTCTTATAGTTTTCAGTGTATAGGTCTTTCACCTCCTTGGTTAAGTTTATTCCTAGATTTTTTTTTTTTTTGGGAGGAAGATCGGCCCTGAGCTAACATCTGCCCATCTTCCTCCACTTTATATGGGATGCCGCCACAGCATGGCTTGACAAGCGGTGCGACGGTGCGCGCCCGGGATCCGAACCGGCAAACCCCAGGCCGCCGCAGCAGAGCACGCACACCCAACCACTTGCGCCACCAGGCCGGCCCTATTCATAAATATTTTATTCTTTTTGTTGCGATTGTAAATGGGATTGTATTCTTGAGTTCTCTTTCTGCTAGTTCATTACTAGTGTATAAAAATTTTTATACTGATTTTTATACTGATTTTTATAAGTTGATTTTGTACCCTGCAACTTTGCTGTAGTTGTTGATTATTTCTAAGAGTTTTTTTGGTGGATTCTTTAGAGTTTTCTATATGTAGAAGCACATTGTCAGCAAACAGAGTTTTACTTCTTCCTTTCCAATTTGGATACCTGTTACTTAATTTTCTTGCCTAATTGCTCTGGCCATAACCTCCAGTACTGTGTTGAATTGGAGTGGCAAGAGTGGGCACCGTTGTCTTGTTCCTGTTTTCAGAGGGACGGCTCTCAGTTTTTCACCATTAAGTATGATGTTGGCTGTGGGTTTGTTATATGTGGCTTTTATTATGTTGAGATACTTTCCTTCTATACCCATTTTATTGAGAGTTTTTATCATAAATGGATGTTGGATCTTTTCAGATGCTTTCCCTGCATCTATTGAGATGTCATGTGATTTTTACTCCTCATTTTGTTAATGTGGTGTATCACATTGATTGATTTGCGGATGTTGAACCATCCCTGCGTGCCTGGAATAAATCCTACTTGATCATGGTGTATGATCCTTTTAATGTATTGCTGTATTCGATTTGCCAGTATTTGTTGAGGATTTTTGTGTCTATGTTCATCAGCGATATTGGCCTGTAATTTTCCTTCTTTGTGTTGTCCTTTTTTGGTTTTGGTATCAGGGTAAATGTTGGCCTCATAGAATGAGTTAGCATTCCATCTTCTTCAATTTTTTGGAATAGTTTGAGAAGGATTGGTATTAAATCTTCTTTGAATATTTGGTAGAATTCTCCAGAGAAGCCATATGAGTACCTATCTAATAGCCTCTTAAAAAACATTTTGAGTAATAGGATAAAAATAGACATTTTAAAAATCACTTTTTTTGTTGTTGGGTGGGGGAATCACTTGTAAGGTCTACACAAGTCCTTCTGTGTACTCTCTGGATCGAGTAGTTGCCGGATTTCGAACACGAAGTCAGATGCTGCTCGGTCACATAGAAGAACAAGATGAAGTACTCCACTGCCAATTTTCTGATAACAGTGATGATGAAGAATCAGAAGTCCAAGAGAAATCTGAAATTAGGTATGTTAATTATAGACTGATTTAATAAACATAATTATATGATACAAATATATACAGATGTAGGTTTTCTTCATTAAAGTGTATCTTTTTCATTTAATATAAGAGTAGGTAGTTTTTGCTAAATGTACTGTCAACTAATGTGTTATGAAACCAGTGTTTGAACACAAGTCATCAGTCTTACAATTGAAAAATAATTTTGCTTTTAGAGCTTTTATAGTTGTTAGATTTTAATTTTCAGAGAGAATGTTTTTCGATTTTCTGATTCTGCTGCCACAGTGGCAACAAACATGATGAATTTTCCACGAGGTGCAACATGGTGGGGGACATCCTTTCATTTTGAGGAATATTAGTAAAATTCTGTTTATTTTATATAATTAATACTTTTTTAACGTTACTGTCACTTTTTGGGGAAACTAATTTGAGGGCAGATTAGAAAACATTAACAGACAAGTTACCTTTCATCTTGATTTGATCTTTTTTTTAGATGTAGAAGTCACTCATGGATTCAAAAGCCATTCAAAAAGCCAGACTCTGTTTGTTCTCTTGTTGAATTGAATGATATTCAGGATCAAACACAAAAGTCAAGTTTGGGGAATGAAGGTACACAGACTTTCTCAAGTAATGTAGATCTAATGTTTATAAGATACTTCTCTTTTTCTTCAGTCAATAATTTAAGAAGCATCTAGGAATTCTCAAAGATGGGAAGTTGGTAGGAGTGCTTTCCTGGTTGGTAGAACTTCCTTTATGTTATCTGTTGTACCTCTAATTTTTCACTCTTTTTTATTCCTTAATAAAAAAAATTTTCCACCAATCAATTCTGGCTAGAGTTATAGCTAAATCTTTCAGAATGGGGATTTTATATTCAACCCTGAGTTGATGTGCATTGTACTCTTTACTACTTTAAAATACATCTTAAGTAATTTATTAGGTGTCTTTTATGCTTCACTGGCACACATGCCTACCATTAAGTGATGTATTTGGCATTAGAGCCAAATTAGTCTACTGGGTAGTCGTAATGTTCTAGTACACAATTGATGAGAATTTTTATACATCAAATAACAGCATCAAAAATGTTTATGTTGCAAAAACTATAGTAGGAGATTTTAACTCATTTCTCTTGGCCTATGAGTGGCCAAAACAAAAAATAAGAGTATAGGGCATTAAATAACATGATAAATAAGTCCCACATGATGATAATAGAGAGCATCTTTGTAAGATCCTATGCATGTAATATTAAAAAATTGACTATATGTCACGAATAAAACAAATAAATTAAAAAATGTATAAGTAGTATAGATAAGTGCTACTCAAGTAGCCATCCTTGAACTGTTTGTTACTGGTCTACAACCAGGTAAGAAGCTTATGCCAGAGTGTAAATCAGTGCACTAGTTCCTTCACTGAGGGAGTCTCACTGTGAAAAAAGACGGCAGTTGAACTAAAACAGTGACATAGTTGATTTATGTTCTGATGCAAGACAGTAATAAACAGTGCTGGACCATACGCTGAGTAATCTGGTGTAGATTACAATTAAACTACAAGTTAGTAGGGAAAAAATTCAACCCTCTACCCACCTGGAGATTTTACACCTTTCTTAAATAACTCGAGTTACGGAAAAACTCAAATTGCAGAATATCTAAGGCTGTGTATCAGAACCTACAGGATATGACTAAAGCGTTTATATATTTTAAGGAAAGCAAGACTTGCTGTAAGCTAGAGAACTGAAGTCTCAATTGCCATGTATTTTCTTCTTTCTTTCTTTCCCTTTCTGTTTGTCCCTTCCTCTGCTATCTCTAAACTACTTCTGTGTCTTTTTAACTCTTCTTTTTAACTCTACTTCTGTTGAATATTTTATGAGCAGATAGTTTTCTCAGTTTTGTTTCTTTTATTTTAAAGATTTAAAGATTGACTGTCTCCAGGAAAGTCAAGAGTTGAATTTGCAAAAATTAAGGAATTCAGAACTCATACTTACTGAAGCTAAACAAAAGATGAGAGAACTTACAATTAACATCAAGATGAAGGAAGATCTGATTAAAGAATTAATAAAAACAGGTAGTGGTATCCTATGAACCAGCTTATATGAGAAAGAAAAGCTTCTTTTCTTCAAAGTTTCTTCAAAACATTGCATATGGTGTTGTAACATTTACTTTAGTTTTTGATGCTTAGGGCTATCCAGTGTAGCTTGGAATTTGGTATAACAAGGTGTGTTTTAGAGGCAATATGTGGAGGTTACTTATCAAAAGAACTTTTGTTATGTTGGGATTTTATCTATGAATTGTTCGAACCAGTGTGAACTCTGTGTTGTGCTGAAACTCTGGCAGTTAATGTTTTTTGCTGCTTTTTAAGAAACATTAGGGCCGGCCCCGTGGCTTGGCGGTTGAGTGAGCGCGCTCCGCTGCTGGCAGCCCGGGGTTCGGATCCTGGGCGCGCACCGACGCACCGCTTCTCCGGCCATGCTGAGGCCGCGTCCCATATACGGCAACTAGAAGGATGTGCAGCTATGACATACAACTATCTACTGGGGCTTTGGGGGGAAAAATAAATAAATAAATAAAATTATAAGAAACATTATACTAGGCATCTGGGAATATGTCTGAGATGTTTTTCTAACTCATTTTAACAATTATTTATTTTAAATTATTAGTCTTCATTCTTTGAGTTAGTTCATTTTTAACATTAATTATAAACTTTATATTTTAAATATAGATAATTTTTATTTTTCTAAAGATGTAAGGATTTGTCTTTGAGAGCTATTGTTTTAGTGAGCCAAGCTTTTAGCTCTTCCCCTTAGTCTCAGATTCTGCCAGGTTGGGCGTATGTAACACATCTCCTCACCTTCAGCTACATTAGGCTTGCCTTAAAAAGCACATCTCAGGCTTTTGGGATTTTTTTTTCCCCCTAATACACTAGGGTGTGGGCCTTGACTACTTTGTAATTTTATATATTTATTTATTTTTCCCCCAAAGCCCCAGTAGATAGTTGTATGTCATAGTTGCACATCCTTCTAGTTGCTGTATGTGGGATGCGGCCTCAGTGTGGCCAGAGAAGCGGTGCGTCGGTGCGCGCCCAGGATCGAACCTGGGCCACCAGCAGCGGAGTGTGGGCACTTAACCGCTAAGCCACGGGGCCAGCCCCTTGACTACTTTGAAATTCAGTAAAGGATTGAAGGAATAAAAGACATCAGCATTTCTTTTCTCCAACTCCAGTGAAAAAAACTCACTGGTCATATTTAGGGGAACTGAAGGAAACATTGTCTTCCTTTTTTTCAAGCCCGAGGCTATAATCACAATCACACTCAAACCACATGAATTATGGTGGGTCCCAACTCCTCTGCCAGCAAGGGGAAACCTGCCTTCCGACTTCCTTCCTCTTTCCCGCAAGCTTGCTTTCTGGCTGTCAGTCCTCCTCTCTCAGCCTCCTCTCCCTAGCTGCTGTCCCGAAGCGTTTTCCTTCCTCATTCTTAGTGATGTATGTGCTGTGCGTCATCCCAGCTCCAGTTGTCCCAGATGTTTGAGTTTGACCATGCTCCTTGTAGGCAGGGTCATTGCCAGTAAACCTCTCTTAGGAGTATCTAGGAACTGATTTAGGGGTTTAAATAGCTTCTCCATCCTCAAGGTTTCAGGGTACTGCCTGTGGAAGTTGAGGGTATTTACCCCTCTGGAATAGATGATTTTCTTTCTGGTAGGTTATCCCACCATGGGATATCTCACTCAACAAGCACACTTTTGAGCCTGGTTTACCCATCCTGGTTGCCTTAAAAATGGAGGATACCTAAACACAGAGAAGGTTCTCTTCTTGCTCATTAGCACCAAGGGCAGTTTGGAGCTTTCCTAAAGACCCTTAGAGATGGTGACTAGCAAAAGGATCAGTGCGTGCCTTTCAAAGCCCTCTCACTGATGACTTCTCCCCAATAGCAGCTACTTCAATCAACAATAACAGTGACAACTATACTGCATTTCATCAATTCTAATATACATTTTAATATCTTTGGAATTAAGATGCATCCTAAAATCAATAGCATCTCAGCATTTTATCATGGTATAATTGGCATTGTATTTTTTTTATTAGTGGTTCATAAAATATTGGCATGTTGAACAATTTATGGATCTTAGATTCATTAAAATATAATAGTCGTATGTATTTTCAATTAGTCAGAATCATAGACTTGTAGAGCCAGAAGACAACTCACAGTTCAATAACTCCGTTTTATTAAAAAATGAAGAGATTTTCAGTATAGTAGTATAACAAACTGTCCCTGGCAATTATTCATCCTATGAGCTCTAGAATCTGATTTCCCACTGCCATGAGTTTGCTAGTTTAGTTCAAGGACAGTTGACCATTCAGAACAAATCAAAACCAAGTTTTTAGCGTCAGTAGCTGGGCTTAGAATGAAAAGAGATATAGAAATACCTATATCCTATTTTTCTCTATGTTCTAAATATTCACAAGAAAAGCATTTAAAAATAATTCATCTCGGGGCCAGTCCCGTGGCTTAGCGGTTAAGTGCATGCGTTCCGCTGCTGGCGGCCCAGGTTCGGATCCCGGGCGCGCACCAACGCACTGCTTCTCCAGCCATGCTGAGGCCGCATCCCACATACAGCAACTAGAAGGATGTGCAGCTATGACATACAACTATCTACTGGGGCTTTGGGGGAAAAAATAAATAAATAAAGTTATAAAAAAAAAAAAATAATAATAATTCATCTTTAACAAGTTCAATGGAATGAAAAAGGAGGGGGCCAGCTCTAGATTAAAAGATGCTTAGGAGACATAACAATCAGATGTATGGTGGACCTTGTTTGGATCATGATTAAAATAAACCAATTGTAAAAGACATTTTGAGACAATTGGGAAAGTCTGAATAGGGACTGATGGGTATTAATATTGTTAGGTGTGATAATGCCTTTTTGGTTATGTCCATATTCTGTATAGATGCTTATTGAAGTACGTATGGGTGAAATGATATGACATCTGGAATTGCTTTACAATTTTTTTTTGCTGGGAAAGATTCACCCTGAGCTAATGTCTGTTGCCAATCTTCCTCTTTGTTTTTGTTTTTTTTTTTTTTGCCTCCCCAAAGCCCCAGTACACAGTTGTATATTCTAGTTGTAAGTCCTTCTAGTTCTTCTACGTGAGCCGCCACTACAGCATGGCTACTGACAGTCGAGTGGTGTGGTTCCTTGCCCAGGAGCTGAACCTGGGCTGCTGAAGCAGAGCATGCTGACCTTTAACCACTAGGCCATCAGAGCTGGCTCTACAATTGTTTTTTTCTTTATTGTGAAATTTTTGTTGTACATTATTGTTTGTCAGTCACCATATAAATGCATCCCTTCACCCCCTGTGCCCACTCCCACCCTCCTTACCCCAGGTAACCACCAAATAGTTCTCTTGTCCATGTGTTGGTTTATCTTCCACTTATGAGTGAAGTCATGTGGTTTTTGTCTTTCTCTTTCTGGCTTATTTTGCTTAACATTATACCCTCCAGGTCTATCCATGTTGTTGCAAATGGGACGATTTTGTCTTTTTTTTATGGCTGAGTAGTATTCCATTATGTATATATACCACATCTTCTTTATCCACTCATCAGTTAAGGGACACTTGGGTTGCTTGCATGTCTTGGCTATAGTGAATAATGCTGCTATGAACATAGGGGTGCATAAGCCTCTTCGGATTGTTGATTTCAGGTTCGTTGGGTAGATATCCAGTAGTGGGATAGCTGGATCATAAGGTATTTCTATTTTTAATTTTTTGAGGAATCTTCATACTGTTTT